CATGCGCACGCGCACACACACACGTGGTGAACTTTTCTTTATTATAAGGTAACCATGGCCAGGTGTGGTGGCTCATGCCTGTAATCCCAGTACTTTGGGAGGCCGAGACAGGTGGCTCACCTGAGGTCAGGAGTTCAAAACCAGCCTGGCCAACATGGTGAAACCCTGTCCCTATTAAAAATACAAAAAAAAAAAAAAAAAAAAATTAGCCAGGCGTGGTGGTGGGCGCCTCTAATCCCAGTTACTCGGGAGGCTGAGGCAAGGAGAATCACTTGAATCCAGGAGGCGGAGGTTGCAATAAGCCAAGATCACACCATTGTACTCCAGCTTGGGTGACAGAGCAAGACTCCATCTCAGAAAATAATAATAAAAATAAATAAAGTAACCATTAAACCATTAGAAAATCACATGAAAAGAAAGTACATTCATATTATCTAAAATTCTGAAGTTGTTATATTAATTTAAATTCCTCTAGTTTCTATTTAATATACTTTCTTTTCTACTTTGAAATTATTTACTATATTTGATGTACACAAAATAATACATGTAACACTTATGTAAGTTGTAAAAGCGGAATAATAGAGTGCATTATACCCCACAGAACTAAAGTCCTTCAAATAACTTGCCTCTACTTATGTGTTTCTTCCCTGTCCCAGCCATAATCCTTTCAGTGGTAGCTACTATGGAAAGATTTGTGTTTATACAAATATGTTACATACATACTTTTTCAAGTATCAGTATCTTCACCCCGTCATAACCTTTAAGACATGATACAGAAGCAAATATATCCCCATTGTTTTCCAGTATCAAATTTTCCACACAGACCAAAATTTCCTCCTCTTCTACTTCCTTTAGGACTTCATATAGTCACTTACCACTTCATTACCCTGGACCCTTTCCTCTCCCTCTACTGCTTCCTCCTTCTCTGCTTACTTCCCGCCTTGCAAAACCTCCCCTCAACTCTGTCTTCTTCTCAAACTATTTATTTATTTCTTCTTCTCTAACAGTGTCTTAACAGGACACTCCTAGAAAATTTATTCATGACTCAATGGATATAGGTACTTCTCAGTTACTTCTTAACACATTATCACTCTACAGAAGATGTTCACATATATGTAATCAATGCCTATCCAATTACCAAAAATAAATACTTCATTCCAGTACACCAGCTATGTAGCTGCATAACATTTGACAGCATGTTACACATTCTGCTCATCTTACTTCACCCTAACTTGCTGGGGTAGTCCAAGTATTAGAGCTTCAACTACAGCATCTTCCCTAAGGATTAGCAGTCCACATCTGTGATTCTGTTCCTCAATGATAGTCTCACTCTCTCAACATTCTTTCCCTTTCCTGACTCCTATACCTCTATCACATGAATATTTATATTTCCTAGAGTGAAAAACCTCAGGTTTCTTCTCCTGTGACTTTATGCAGACCTCCTGTAAGATTCCATTCTTGTCCATGGCTTTGACTATTACCTATTCTTTCAGTATATTGTAACCAATACCCTTTTCTGACCTTCAGAAACACATGTCTAATAGCCTAAAGTTATCTCCAAACTGATGTTTTAATAGATACATCAAGTCCACATGTTGAAATATGAATTCATCACCTTCCCCCCTCCACCTTTTTAAGACATTTTTTTCTGCTTCTATAATAATCATCTTGTTTATGGTAATTACTTACCCATTCAAGCTAAAAAATTGGGGCCATTTTAAGCTCCCTGTACTCTCCATCACCCACATTCAACTGGACACCAACATTTACTTACTTTATAATCCCCATGAAGCATCTAGGGTGATCTTTTAAAATATTTATATTAGATCATATCACATCCCAGCTTTAAAAATCTTCCAAAGGCTCTGTGACTGAGTTAGAATACCATAGCAACTCCTTACTTTGGCCCCACACTATCAGGCTTCCTTGTTCCCTTCAAAAAACTCTCCTTGTGCCTAATCCACAGATCTCTTTCTATCTGTTTGTGGAATGCACCAAACTTATTCCACTCTCAGTCTTTTTGTTCTTGCCTATGTAACTGTTGCTGTTATTTATCTAAACATTTGCTCCTCCAGTTCTCAAGTGTAGTTCATTCAAATGTCGTTATACCTTGTACTCAGTGCTCAGTAAATATTGATTACATGTGAATTACCTGGCTACTATGGAAATTTATCAATACATTGTAGATTCATATGACAAAAGTGATCTTCTATTCTTAAAGGCTTAAAATGATTCAATAAAGGTTAGCAAGTTTAACATTTAAATAAAAACAATTTGTGATTAAAAATAGTAGCAGACCTAGTTTTATTTTATCTTTTGTTATTAACCTCCAACAGCAACCAAAGGCCACAAAAGACCAGGTATACAGAAAGAGGTGGCCAAAGTAGTGCTATGAGTAAGTATACCACTCACTCTTACTAATGTAGCACCTGCCAGTGTTATGCAATCAAGGAACAGGCAACATCCTGTTTGGAGTAGATACATGAAAATCTTAAGCCTAGTCATGCTATCATAATTATCTTTCCTTTTCATTCTTGTCTCAATTAAAGTCTGGAATTTGTATTCACTAATACTGCTTACACAAATTCTTAAGAACAGAGGCAAAAATAATTCAATCAAAAAAAGTTACATTTATTTCATATGTATTTTTTCTGAATCAAGATATTGAAGGCACGTCAAATTCAGATTCAAAATTCAACCACATCATAAAGAAATGAGGATCTAAGTCATTCTTAGTCAATATTCAATATGATTCCAACTAATGCTTTTTGGCTGGATAAACTACCTTTTTTATAGCATTTGCATTTCTCAGAGTTTGGTCTTTCTATTTTGTTTTAATCAGAAGTGGAAATACCAACATAACTTGCATAATATCTGTAACATGATATTTTGCAGTTAACAGGAATAAGAAGTAATAAAAAATAACAGAGTCTGAAACTCAAGAGAATCTTTTCACAGACTTGTAGAATCTCTAGGAACAGCTGTTTCAGATAAATAGGTAAAAACAGCATCTCTATTAACGATTGTTATGAGCTTTGCAATTTTTTTTCCATCACTGAGTATATGCTTGCCTGTTTATTGAATTCTCTGTAATCCCAGAATCAAATTGGAATGATAGCCAAGTAGGTGAGAATTTCTAGACTTAAAATGTTTTATATTATTCAACACCTCCTCATGGTAAAAATAATGAAAGCAAAAGCAACCATGTTGGGTTTAAGAAACATAATTATGGTTTCGGGGGACTGTTGAGCTTTTTACTGAAAGCCTTAAAAATCTTTTAACAGGTGTTGATCTATACATGTGTCCTTTACAAAGTTTGTAGCAATACTATTCTGCATTGCATTTTAGTTTTGTTAATAAAGAATGTTCACATACATATCTCACTGTCACATTCTAATTAAGGTTCATTTTACAGATGAGAAAGCTGAGGCTCAAAGAAGTTACACATTTTTCTCTACATCACACAGTTTATTACTGTATCAAGGTCTAAATGTATTCTGATTTGGCTTGTTCACAGTAAAACCTCAGAAAACAACTGTAATTAATTCCCAGAGTCATTTTTGTGCCCAAAGTAATTAGATCAGGAAGTTTTCTTAAAACTGAAGGATTGTATAGAAATCCTTTCTTTTACAGTGATTTTTTTCACAACCACATACACAGAGTTCATGACATTATAATAGGTCTAGGGAGTAATTATTTTTTATTTTTTAATTTATTTTATTATTTGATTTATTTTTATTTTTATTTTTATTTTTTGAGACAGAGTTTTGCTCGTATTGCCCAGGCTAGAGTGCAATGGTGCGATCTCGGCTCACCACAACCTCTGCCTCCCTGGTTCAAGCGATTCTCCTGCCTCAGCCTCCCAAGTAGCTGGGATTACAGGCATGCGCCACCATGCCCAGCTAATTTTGTAATTTTAGTAGAGATGGGGTTTCTCCATGTTGGTCAGGCTGGTCTCGAACTCCCAACCTCAGGTGATCCACCCTCCTTGGCATCCCAAAGTGCTGGAATTACAGGTGTTAGCCACCATACCTGGCCAATTATTTTAAAAATAGACATGATAGTTAATCACTTTTAAAAATAAATTATGTTTATGATTTTGGATTTCAGTTTTCTGACATTAAGTAAAGCAGGTCGGCAGATTTTAAAAGTTGATAGATTTTTTTTTATTCTTCCAAGTTTCTGACAACTAAGAACTCATTAAATTCATTTAAAATGCCTATTCTGTGCTGAAGAGTTTTGGAGAAAGCTTCATCTTGTAGATTTTGGCTGTCATTCCTGATTGTATCTGCTTGATGTAACTTTGGTTAAGGCATTTTATATTTCAGGTTTTCCTATAAAACTAAGTCGTGAATTTTTAATTAAGAAATAGATTTTTATCTCTGTAGTTTATTACTCTTTGACTTTATTATAAAACTATACGTTTTTATTAGTTGATAAAGATAAGAGATAGCTGGGAAAGAGGCAGATATCCAGGCTGAAAGCTTTCTGGAAGAGACTATGAATCATATCTCAAAATCAGTCACTGCTCACCAAACTTACAGCAACATGCCTTGAGAACTATTTCCAGAAGTGTTGAAGAGTCCATGTGTTTACACTGGACTTTGTTATGAACAAAGAAAATACTATTTATATACTTTAAAATGCACATGGCAAGGCCTGTTCTTTAAGCCAGTTGTTCAGACAAAAATAATCCACTTAAAAGTAGAAATGAAATTTACTACCATTAAGTCCAGTGTTAAATTAAATTATACAGAACAGCAGAACAAAAAAAAAGTCAAGGATCTAATAAGACATCTGGAAATATGTCATGTGTATATAGGAGTCACTTAATGATATTGATTTGCCTAAACTGAACCCACACAAATACATATGAGAGAATGGGATCAAATGGTTTCTTAAGCAGGAAGACATGCAGAAAAAAAATATCCATTTACAAATGCAATTAATTCTGGAGGTGAAGATCAGCATTATATATTGAGAATAAATATGATTCTTACCATCTGAGACTGACTTCTAGGACATCCATTGATATCTTCAACTTTTTCATTTGCTAAAGCCAAGAGATAAAATAAAAGAGAGAAAAAAAGAACGACATGCTTAAGCAATGAAGTGAAACACACATATGAAAACAGGAAAAAAATACCAAGCAAAAATGCTCCTGCTACATATATTCTGTCTTCCAAGCAGTACACAAGAAGACACACTTGTTAACAGCCGCCAATTCTATATGCACAAATCAGGCAAAAAAAAAAAAAAAAAAAAAAAAAAAAAAATGAGTGAGAAGGAAGTTGCTGCTAATTCTTTAGCCTGTGCCAAATGACTGCTGACATGAAGCCTTTCACAATTGTCCCTGGTTGGATCAGGATACAGTTTCAAGGCATCTCAGAGTGTATGAGTTGCTCCAGCTAATGAAATACACACATGGGAGACATATGGTTTAATGAAGCATTCATTTCTGACAGTTCAATTCAAATGATTCAATAAAGGTTAGCAAGTTTATGTATATAAAGATACAGTTCCAGTTATTTAAAAGTATGGCCAAACTGCCTTTTTCAAACATCCTCACATAAACATTTTAATTAAATCAGGGGAGAGCTACATGAATCTCAGAGACACATGGACCAGTTCAGTAAGGCGCTTAACTTAAGTTGTGCTTTACCAAAGAGATGGCAGCAGAGACTTTTATGCTTTCTTTCAGAAGGAAGTTCTTACCAATAATCTGGATGATTTCTGCTAGGAGTACTCCATCTGCAATGTCTTGTTGCAAGTCCTTGATCAGCCGCTTGTGGCCCGATTTTGCTAGGTAGTGGTTGGCCCAGTCAGTGTAAATCTGTTGAACAGAGAGAAGGAAAAAGTGAGATGGGGTGAGGGAAAAGAGAGACAATAAAATGCTGAAGACAAATGTTGGATTCAAAGGGAAGCTATTCTGGATCACATTCCAGTTTAAGAAGTCATAGCTCTAAAGGAAATAGTTGTAAAGTAATTTTTAAACAGCTCTTTCCCCAACTTATCTCTCGTTTCAAAGGGGATGATTCACTCTCAAAATTAAGGGCTAGTCACTTGTGACAAAGCAAAACTTCCCTCCGGGATGACTACTGAGGAAATTCCCATTGTAAATCAGTTTGGGTTTTCTCTCTCTTTATTGTTTCTATCATTTTGAAAATAATCCTGCCTGTTCATGCAAAAGAAAGCCACCTGGACTGATTTACATAGAAACATTACTATAAAAAATTGTGCTTCTCTGAGAAGACTATTGATTTGTCATGTGAGATACTGTATGTGTGACAAGATTTTGGCATCATTTTATGAAATAATTACAAATACCTTCCTGTCTAAGATATTTTATTTGGATTGTCATCTTCCATTTAAGCCTCTTGAAATGTGTTTATATGAGATAATAGAGGCAGCAAATGGAGTTATTACATAGAAATTACAATGCAGAATTCAGAAGTTAATTGTAAGGCACAAAATTGAGAATTTGACATAGAATAGAGGTGTCGCTTCAACAGCAGATCATGATATGCAAAAATTTTACAAAAATAAAACATTGTTAATCTTTTCAATTAAATAGAATGCTTACTAATTGTAAGAGAAAAACTAAACATGAAGATTTCAGCTTCATGGGTGGTGCATATGCATGTATTAGTGGATTTATTACAAGGCAGACTATGATGTGATGTAACAGAAAAATGAAATACTTGAAATGAGAATAGAAGAAAGAAAATAAGATATATACTTGTAAAAAGTATTATTAGAAGCACTGGAATTAGAACTGGAAATAAAATAGAACCTGAGCATGAGAAGCGAGAAGGACCTTCCTTGCAGAGGGTATGACATATATAAAAGCCGACAGGCAAAGAAATCTAGGACACAGCTGTAAAATCTGTAATTGAGGCAGAATGTCTAAAATTAGGGAAAATCAGGCTGAAAAGGTAAGTTGCATTTTATAGTCATGAACACTAAATGCCAAGCATATTAAAAACTGTTTAAACATTTCTCACAAAGCAAATTCACATTTAAAAAGTAATAATAATAAATCAGAAGTATAGAAACTAAAAAGTCAAAGTCTCCCCACAACTTTCAACCCTGTCCATTTTTGAATAATTTGGTATGAAGAGTTCTAGAATTGATGTGTCTACACTCCACTTCACACTGTACCACAGAACACACACACACATATATACCCATACACACACGAGATGACATTTTTAACCAAATCTGGCTCAAATTTTAAATATTATTTTGCAGTTTCAAATTTATATGTAACAATATTTTAACAGCTTCTCTAAGAGCCATTTCATGTATATTCATCTATTGTTAATATTACGTTATATATTATATCAATCCCCCAGTTGATAGATACTTAACTTGTTTAAATATGTTTCTATTACATCTAAAGTTGCAAGAGACAGCCTGATAAATGTATCTTTCTGAACTCATATGCCAGTATTGTTATATGGCAAAAACCTAGAAATGGGACTGCGAAGCGTTTTGAATGAATCTTGGGTCCAAATATCACAAGATTACAAAACAGAAGAAAAAGTGTTCATTTCTATTAGAAAATACAAAGTAGTCCTACTGTCATCAGAAGACTAATACATATCTGGTGGTGATTAAGTTTCCTGAAAGATGTAAACAACTAGAAGCATCCCCTTGCATAAGAAAAATAAACGTGAGAGCAAAATTGCATCTCCTTTTATTAATATCCATGATATCTATGTTGAAGATATTGAAGGGTAAGAAAAATTAGTTGCATAACTGTCTCCTGAATTAGCACACAAATACGTGATTTTTAGGTAGATGCTTTTATTTGGTAATAATTTTTCTCAATTAAGATTTGATTGGCCGGGCGCGGTGACTCACGCCTTTAATCACAGCACTTTGGGAGGCCGAGGCGGGCGGATCACAAGGTCAGGAGATTGAAACCATCCTGGCTAACACAGTGAGACCCCGTCTCTACTAAAAATACAAAAAAATTAGCCAGGCGTGGTGGCGGGCGCCTGTAGCCCCAGCGACTTGGGAGGCGGAGGCAGCAGAATGACATGAACCCGGCAGGCAGAGCTTGCAGTGAGCCGAGACAGCGACACTGCACTCCATCCTGGGCCACAGTGCGACACTCTGTCTCAAAAAAAAAAAACAAACCAGATTTGATTATATTTGTATGATCATACATTTTTTGTACGGATTTTATACTGTTCAGAATTTAAAACATTGAGCATATTCTCCTTCTTTACACATCATTTTAATAATAGAATTATTTTGGCCTTCTAGTGGAAACTTCAGGTTGAGTCCCTGAGTTGTGTTGATCTCTCCATAGGCAAAGAATGGGGCCATGGGTTGAAAAAGGATTCACAAGGGTGATGAGAATGAGTTCTGGAGTCAGACAGACCTGACCTGAGACCACTTACTTCCAGTGGGACCCTGGACAAGTGACTTAACGTTCAGATTCCTCTTGTTAAAAGAAAAAAAAAAAACCTTGTAAAACAAGGAGAATGATAATACTTACATTATAGGATTGTGCCAGGACTAAATAAGATAGCACTTGTAAAGCATCTGTCCCAAAGCTAGTCATGAAAATCATGCTTGCTATTATTATCATCACATGGCATCTAGTTTTATTTTGCTGTGATAGCTTTCCAACAAATACTTATTAAAGTTATAATTTCACAAAGGTTAAAAAAATTGAGAGGGCAGGCATCAGAAGACTAAAGAAATTGTACTAATTGCTTCTGACACTACTTCTATCACTAACTCTTCCTGCCTTCCAATTCACAGGTGTCATGAATCTGTCTGCATCTGAACTCAGGGAAATCTAAGTAAAAGATTGAGGCTGTCATATTTTCATCCAGGTCTGTAATGTCTCCGTTGTGACGCCACTTCCATCAAACTGTATTGCATTGGTTTTGTTTTATGATGACATTAATTATACACAAATATGTGTTTAAATAAAAAACAAACTGATATGTACTAAAAGTGAAGATAAGAATGCTTTCATTCTCCAAATGCATGTCCACAGTTCCTTAGCCTTTATCCTAATTCATCCTGGGACTTAGGTGTGAAAACAAACGGGAGCCCAGCTAGTTGGTTTCAAGATACCTTGTTGTTAACACCTGTGTTTTACCTCGCCAATCATTTTTTGTTTGATCCAGGATTTCTTCCAGAGGAAGCCCAACCTTAAGGGCTTTGATATGTCCAGCATCTCTAATATCTGAAATTTTGCTCAGGCCATAGTTCTAACTTCAGCTGCAATCAGTGAGAGCAATGACTATATAAAGAAATTTAAAGCAAATTTAAAAATAATTGCTGCACACTTTATTTACTCCTTCTAATAAACAGCTGTGTCTTCCCTAAGTAAAAGATACTTGAGACCCTCCAAGGAAATGACCAGAGGGGGAAAACCAGTGCCTTCCAGAAGGATATTATAATCTAGATGATGAAATATTTCAAAAATTACAAAGTAACATGTAAATATATTTTAAGATATTATATACAAACATATTTCTGTCTTTCAAAATTGTATATGTGTAAGCTGAATAAAAAGGTAGAAAAATGAGTTGTGTCTTTAAAGAGACTTCAAGCAAAGGACACATGGTATATAAATGTATTTAAAACTCATCAGTAAATTTACTGTAATGCTCTGAGGAGAGAGAATACAAACAACTTTGTCAACTGTCATTAGAATGTGATCTTTAAATAAATACAACAGGATGGTGAAATCAGGTCCTGAAATTGGATTTGAACTCCAAAATTGCCCTTGGTTCATTATCACAAAAATAATAATCACAGTATTTAACCTCTTAGCTTCAGCTGAATGAGTTATAAAATGTGCAGTAATGTGTCTTGCAGGATTATGCTATGAATTAATTATAGTTTTTCCAGTGAATAAATTGGTATAATTGGGAATAATATCAAACTAATCATAATTCAGTGTTTGGTAATTTTTGTAAAAGGGTCATTGAGGATTTTAATCATGAATGTTCTGGCTAAAGCTTCCAATACGGTTTATCTCTAGATATCTGAAGCCAGTCTTCTTCAACTGTTTTGATGAACTTCAATGTGATTAATATAAACATCATCCCATCTAATAATTTTATGTCAAGAAATTCAGAAGAATTAGTGAGATTGCATTTACAAGAGGGCTGCTTAGAAATTCTAGTACAATTGTATGCATAATCATTCATTTACCATAATTAAAAGTGATAAAAATCAAAGTTATCATGGTATATTTTACATTTATCAGTATGAATTTTAGGGTCTATCATGCAATAGCATATATTCTTTGAGGAACAATTCACGTTGATGGGATGTCTGCTCTGCCTCTTAATATTCGTGCAGACTTTGATTGAACATTGATTTTCTCTAAGTTCCACAGTATTCTCATCTGTAAAATGGCAATAATATTATGCCCTACTGATATGGTTTAGCTCTGTGTCCCCACCCAAATCTCATGTTGAATTGTAATTCCCAGTATTGGAGGAGAGGCCTGGTGGGAGGTGACTGAATCATGGGGGCAGACATCCCCCGTTGCTGTTCTGATAGAGTTCTCATGAGATCTGTTTTTGTTTTGTTTGGTTTTGTTTTGTTTTTGTTTTTGTTTTTAAGTGGGTAGCACATCCCTGTTGGCTCTTTCTCTTCCTCTGGCTCCCACCACGTAAGATGAGCTTGCTTCTCCTTTATCACCTGCCACCGTGACTGTAAGTTTCCTGAGGCCTCCCCAGCCATGCTACCTATGGACCCTGCAGAACCATGAGTCAATTAAACCTCTTCTCCTTATAAATTACCCAGTCTCAGGTATGTCTTTATAGCAGTGTGAAAACAGACTAATACCTC